AGTCGGGGAGGCCGCCAACCCGGCCCCGCCCGTGCAGAGGACCGGGGCGCCGGGTGGGCCGCGGGCCCGGGAGGCGGCGGGGCGCCCCAAGGAAGGGCCGGATCGCGCCGATAACACGGGCGCCCCGGGCTGCAGGCTCAGGCTTCGGGCCGATTCGGGGACCCCGGGCCGCGGGGACACCGGCGGGGCTTTCGGGTGTCCCAGCCCCTCCCCTTTCGTCCCGCGTCGTGGGAGGAGAGCGAGTCCTTTGAGCAGAGTTTATTAAAGTGGGGTCCGTGGGCGGATCCCCGACCCCATCTGACTTTCTGAACCAGACTCTGTGTTGTGGCCTGGGAATCTGAATATACCTCAAGCGTCTCTGATGGTTTTGATGCAGGTGGTCACAGAACCGCACTTTGGGGGCACTTCCTCAGAGGGCAGGGCATTTCCGACACAGCAGGGAGTCTAAGTGGGTGCATTGAGGATGGGCCATTGACTGGCCTTGAAATGGTGTTGGATGGTCCTCTGCCTTAGGAGAAACTGACTGAGGCAGGGGTATCTCTTAAATCCCTGCACTAGGGTGCTGCTATGTTCCTGTTGCCACCACTGGAGTCTTCAGATGGACAGATGCTTAATGAGTAAAGTGCCCCGGTCTGCAGCCTTAGGGATGAAACAGTGCTGAAATAGACAGTGTAGGGTGCAGCAGAAAACTTGGAGCCAGTCCTGCTGACCCGGGGCCGACTCCGCCACTTACCAGCAGGGCAGTCCTAGTGTGGAACCTGCTCACATCACTATTTCTTTCTCCAGTGTCCTCATCTGTCAATAGAGACAGTAATTCCTATCCAATAGGGCTTTTGTGTGAATTAGGTAGTGTCTACCAAGTGTCTCCTGCAGTAACTGTCACATAATAAGCATTGAGCAAATGGGAATTATTGATAGTGATACAGATTCTGTCTTCCTAGAGCTATAGTCTCCCAAACTAGGGATTAAATAGGTGAGAAAAACGTGGAGAGAGGTACACAGTATATTTGGTGGACTGTGCACAGATTCTAACTGGGGGATGCTTGGGAAGGTCATGCAACCTGTGAGATTTGCCTGTGGCTTTGAAGAATAGCTGGATTCCAGGGAGCTGGTAACTGGGGCAGCATGAGCCAGTTCCATCCTGTGCTTCAGAGGTGGTTCTCTCACATGGGTCATTGCAGGGCTGCTCCTGGGACTTTGAGGCAGCAAAAGAAGTCATGTTGATAAGTGTTTTCTGAAGGCTAAACTGTTGATCCATAAGAGTTTCTGTTTACTGACCACGCTTGACACATATTGTTTTTGTCAGACACCGATGGTCTCCTTTTCCCATCTCCTTGGAGACTGGCTAAATTAGAGCATCTACAAAAGGATCCTAGTTGATCGCATAGTAAAAGTGAGTTGCCATGAATATAGTTGAGTCTCTTGGTGGCCATTTTGCATTTGCAGTGAAATGCGCAGTCACATCAGGAGTACCTTTTTATCACAGTATTGTTTTAGGTTCCAGAGAAACACCACAGTCACTTGTGGTTCGTCCATCTCCAGAATAGATTAAGAAATCAAGTCCTTAAAACTTCCCTAAAGCTTCATTCAGCCATTTTGGAATGAAGAAGCCAGATGATTTAGAGCTGTTATTTGTTGCTCTTTTGGACCAGTCTGGCTACTGGCATACATAGAATTCTGATCTCAGTTGATAAATTATATATTCCTTAGTTACCTAATCTAGGAACTACAATTAGCATTGTTAATAATTTCTGCTTATGTTTCCTTAAATCTACAGAGCCAATATCAATCCTTCAGTATATGCCTTATGGTAAAATTTATATCGTTATAGATAAAATTTATATTGTTATTGAGTACTTACTCTGAGCCATAGACTGTTCTATGTGCTTTTTATATGTCCTGTTACTCCTCTGATAGTCCTTTGAGGTAGGCCCCATCCCTGGCTCCATTTTATAGATGAGGAAATAGGCAGAAGAAGATAAGTATTTGCCCAAGGTCCCTAGTTAGTGGTAGAGCCTAGTAGCCTAATTCCATGCTACATGCTGACCCCCTCGCAGTCTAGATAGCTCCCTCAGACTTATTATAGTTTAAAAAGATATGTGAATATCAAAGAACATGAGCAAACCTCACCTTTGCTTTATATGGGACAGACAATGCATTTTCTTGTTAAATTCTTTAAACAGTCATTTCAATAGCTATGATTTGGTTGGTAATAGTTCATCATTTAAAAATACTCTGAACCAAAGTTTTCCAGCTTCTCGGCATATCTCAAACTTCTTTCATGTTATATAAAGTCCTCCAATATTGTTAGTGCTGAGCACCTTATTTTAAATCACATTAAGATGTATTTATTTTATTATCTATTTGGTGTATTATTGGAAATGTGATTGTCCTTTGTTTTTACAGAGGTGGACCAGGACCACCATTATTTTGCAGTTTCTGAAAGCGTTTCAAAGCAAAAATTTAGGTGTTGATGGGAGCAATGGAAGGTCACAAGGCAGAAGAAAAGGTGGTAGATATTCTTCGACTGAATGTGGGTGGCTGTATTTACACAGCCAGACGTGAGTCCTTGTGCCGCTTTAAAGACTCCATGCTGGCATCCATGTTCAGTGGTCGTTTTCCTCTAAAAACAGACGAATCAGGTAAATAACTAAAGTCCATAAAGCATGATCATGAATATTCATTAAAATAGTCTAGTTTAAATTCCCTTTGGTTTTTCCTAATTACAATGGAATGTATTAGACTAGTGTAGTAATTATCGAGATCATTAGAGTTGTATGGAGATTTATTAAACACATGAAGAGGTTAAATACCAGTTTCCAGAATCTGTGATGCTGTCACTAAAAGTTGACAAAAAAATCAATGTGTGTTAAGGCCTACCATCACCTAAATATGGGGATTGATTATACTTTGAAAGTTGTTACGTTCGTGCAACTCCATGGGTAACGATATTGCGGCTTCTCTCTGTGTTCTTCAGTTAAAACATTTATTCTCTGGAGAAAGCAGCTGCCCTCATAGTTCACAGGGCAGTCACTGTAGTGTAGAATTAGTGTTAAACTGGCCACCCAGTCTAGCTGCGTAGCCTTGTGTGGGCTGATGTGGACTCCTGCAAAAACGTCAGTGCAGTGTACCAGCAGTCACCTAGTGGTAGAGGACGGAAAATTGGTCTTCCAGGAGAAACTGTAAAACACAAGGGTAGGGATCTGGGGCTGCTGCTCTTCTTGCTTGGAGTGCTCTGGTATTTGCTTAACCTACTCCCGTTTGTAAAGAAATCTCAACAGTGCAAATAAGTCTTTTTTGCACATCTTTGGTGTTCTGGAGCTCAGAGAACCCACTCTTGCTTCTGTGTCAGAAGAGGGGGTTCAGGGGATCTTGAGCAAGAGTCACTGTTAGTAACCCTGGGTCTTGAGAGATTGCTTTGCCAGCTGGATGGCAGTTGAAAGAATGGAAAACACTGATGGCTGGTGCCCATGTGGGCAGGAAGGTTGTTGGCAAAAAGATAGCAAGCAGGGATTGAGTTTTTCCTCTGCCCCCAAGTTTCACCTCCTTAATCCCTTCTTTTCTAAGCTAACCAAGGAAGAAAAGGAATTATTGAGTAGCCTCACACAGAAGTGTTTTTAAAAATTCTGCTAAATTGTCTAAGAAAGCCTTTTGTCATAAAGTAGTACCAGCATAACATTTCTTTTTTAAAGTTTAGGTTCTCACAATACAAAGGGACTAACCTATTAAGGCTAAACATACAGTGTGCCTGGAGCTAGGAACCCCAGTTTACATGTCATTGACACTACAAGTTGACTAACATACAAATATGACATAAATGAGCATGTCCTCATTAGGGAGGAACTCCATACATCTTTCCTGGCCGGGGAGGACTGAGCTTAGGGGTAAAGTTACATTTCAGCAGCAGTCGGATCTCCATGGCTTTTGAGTGGCCATAGCAGGAATATGGTCATTGCATCTAAAATTCCCCCATGGAGCTCAGAATACATTTTCCTATATGGTAGGTGAGAATACAGAGGATCACCAAATATGGCTAAACCCATTTGAACACTAGTTATTAACTTTCTTGTGAGAAAGAAACATTTCTAATTGTAGAGGTCTGCAGTCTGATTTTAGTTTGACATGTTGAAACTTTATGGTCATATGTATCTATGCAGTGATTTTTGAACTGGATGTTTTCTAGGGGCTTGTGTTATTGACCGTGATGGACATCTATTTAAATATCTCTTGGATTATCTTCATGGAGAAGTTCACATTCCCACAGATGAGCAAACCCGTGTTGCTCTGCAGGAAGAGGCTGATTATTTTGGCATCCCGTATCCATACAGCCTGTCTGACCACTTGGCCAATGAAATGGAGACATATTCTTTAAGGTCAAATATAGAACTTAAAAAGGTCTTGGCATTTTCTTAAGTTTTAAAAAAGTACATACGTATACATATATATATGTTTTTATACACAAAGCAATGTGTGTTATTTTGCATAGCCTGTGTTGCCATGAAAACCAAACATGAGAAAGTTACTTTTTCTAATTTTGAAGACACATTTCTTAATTACTAATCTTTTGAAGGCCCAAATTCTATGTTCTAGGAAAGTGTATTACATTGCCACTCAAAGGTTTATAGTTTTTTTATTTCTCATTGGAGATTTAATACCTTTTGATGGCTTTTTTAATAGAAATATTCTGCTCTTTAGGTTCTTTGTAAATAAAGAGCAATATTGTAGTATGTAAGAGTATAGTGGTATTTTATTTACTGAAATGACTTTTTAAAGAATGGTCACAAAAATAAAAGATTGTAGAAAATCTACCTGATTTAATAAGTGTAGCAGTTTGTTACTAAATTAAAACATTGGTTTGATTAATTCACTTTGAGATCAGTAAGTATTTTTAAAAGATATTTCTCCTTTAAATCACATTTTAAAGATCTTTACGTGAAAGATCTTGAAAAACTTCATTACCTATTTTTGTCTTACTGATAAGTATTATATTTGCTTTTAGTACCTTTGGGCATCTAAGAAAATTTTTTTCCCTAGATGATTAATAGTAGTGAAAACTGACCTGAATTGGGTTTGATTTGCATATCAGTTTAGGAGAGCAAGCTGACAGTATGGTTATTAGGAGTGTAACATGAAGAGACAGTTGATTTGGTTCCAGATCGTCTTCAGGAATTTGCATGGTTGTATGGGTTCTGCTACTGAAGTTATATAGAAATTGAGTTGTCAAACAGTTTAGGGTGCTGTTTGCCACATCTGCAGAATGGGGCTAAGAAATCCTGACTGGAAAGCTGGAGTGGGTTGACATTCATCTTCTGAAGTCTCAACTGTAGTCTTTTGATTTCTGATTTGTACACAAAGAGGACATAGCATGTGTACATTGACTGTGTCAGCCAACACATATTTATCTCAAATGTTTTTGGTATATAGAGCACTGCTCTTGGACTGTGTGGGACACAAAGAAATATGACATACAGTTAGACAGCAATATTAAATGAAAATGTAAGACATGTTAGAGTCCTATTTTCATTCACTGAGTCAGTAAATATTAGGCATCTCCTTTGTGTCAGGCACTATTCCAGGCACTTGGGATACAACACAAAACAGACAAAAGTGCCTGTCCTCAGGGCCCTCACAGGAATAATGCTGGTTCTCTCAGGGAAGGCCCTTGGGCACTCAGCTGGGTGAAGCGCTCCAGCTCTGTTTCCCTTAGCACCTCCTAGGCTCACGTGGTTACAGTTATCCTATGTGCTGATGGCTTATTGACTGTCTTTAAATTTCCTAGAAGTTTATTTATTTTGAGAGAGAGAGAGAGAGAGCGAGAGAAAGAGAGAGAGAGAGAGTGAGAGTGAGAGAGAGAGCACACTCTGAGGAGGGGCAGAGAGAGAGAGGGAGAGAGAGAACCCCAAGCAGGCTCTGCACTACCAGCGCAAATCCTGACATGGGGCTCAATCTCACAAACCATGAGTCATGACCCAAGCTAAAATCAAGAGTCGGATGCCCAATTGATTAAGCCACCCAGGTCTGTCTTTTACATTAGCTATAAAACTCTAGAAGGGCTGGGACCCTGTCTTTTGCTATAGGACCTTAGTGCTCAACCACGTTAGTAACTTCTTAATATTCAAGAGAATGAATGAATAGGTAGATAAACGCCAAAGGAGTTCTTAGAGTTTGCACTGATTTGTATATCTTTCAGTGGAAAAGAACAAGTTAATCTGGTTAATTCATGATTGGATTTGGAGTAAAAAAAAAAAATCAGCTATGGGGCTTAGTGAGTAGAAGGCGAAAGGAATATTGAGTCAAATGGGAAACTGGGGGGAAAATAAAAGGAAAAGAAAAAGGTCTGACTCTTAATCATATGAAGATTTTAAAATTAAAAGTAATGTTGATAGTGAAGCTAAAGGAGGAGGAAAGAAAATACAGCTTCCATGTGGAAGAGGATTCTCTAGATGAAAAGGTGTTGGGTTTTTGGGTGGTGCTTTTTGTGATTTACCCCACCCCCATGCCAAATTCAACAAAAGCATGTTTGGTTTTTCAAGGTGTAAAGACCAGGCTGAAATTTATCATCTTTTTATTTCCCTTATGACCAACTGAAATTGCAGCTTCACGTGAAAGTAATAGAACCAAATTCATTTCTACTTTACTCCAGAATTAAATTCAAATTTTGTATATTTTTTTTGCTCCAGGCTTTAACAGACTTCTGTGATTCATATGGTTTAGTTTGCAATAAGCCAACAGTTTGGGTTCTCCACTATCTTAACACATCTGGTGCAAGCTGTGAGAGTAGAATTATTGGTGTATATTCCACAAAAACTGATGGAACAGATGCTATTGATAAGCAGCTGGGAGGAAGAATTCACAGTAAAAGCATTTTTAAAAGGTATGCCCATATTTAAATATGAAAGGGAACAGAATAAAGTTTTGGTCTCTTGTAAGAGGTGTTACTGAATTGTATATGTGGTTGACTAGAAAAGATCTTCATTCAACACTTGGCAACACACAGAGTGAGCTCTTAGAGCTGTTGAGACAAGCCTGCTTCAAGGAGATTGTAATTAAGACCACTTCACATATATGTAAACTATGGGACATCCACAGTGGTCTACTACATTGCCTCTCACCTGGGAGTGGGCATCAAAGTCCCCTAACAGGCCATGTCTGGCTGTCCTCCCCTAGACCATAGTCCAGGAACAGGAGCACTGCCTAGAAGTCAGCAGCCCTGCTGAGTGGCACAGGACTGGCATGTGCCTCGGTGTCCTGTTCTGAGAAATGAAGGACTTCCCTGGTCCCTATCAGCCTTAAAATCCGATGACTTGAATGTAAAATTCTTTTTTTTTTAATTAAAAATTTTTTTTTTCAACGTTTATTTTTGGGACAGAGAGAGACAGAGCATGAACGGGGAGGGGCAGAGAGAGAGGGAGACACAGAATCGGAAACAGGCTCCAGGCTCTGAGCCATCAGCCCAGAGCCCGACGCGGGGCTCGAACTCACGGACCGCGAGATGGTGACCTGGCTGAAGTCGGACGCTTAACCGACTGCGCCACCCAGGCGCCCCGAATGTAAAATTCTTAAGGGTTATTCTCTTAATATTTTTTTTGTAAACTGACTTAACACAGCGGTCAGTTCACATTACGGTTTTTTTTTTTTTTTTTCTAATTCTCTGGGCGGTTGGATTGGGTCACATATTAGTGACTAATGAATGATCACATGAACTTGCTTTTTTAGGTGACTAAATATGTCATCATTTTCTGAATTCTTTACAGGATGTTTATATAAGATATACGAGTGCCTGGAACAGTGCTATGAAAGTTTTAGTCAAAGTTGAATCTTTTAAAATTTTCCTGGAGTTAGGTAATTTTTTTTAGAAAACCTATTTCTAAAGATTTGTTGATTTGTCTGTACAGTCTATATTGTGAAATTAACAAGTGCTTTACCACATTAAAAAGAGATTGAATATAGGTTAGTATATGAGTATAGTATATTATACTCATAGATATAATCTATAGTATATTATTATCTATATATGTCCTTAAGAGTTGCAGAAGAACAACTATTCAATGCCAACATATTTTTTCCCTTAATTAACAAGTATTTGGTAGTATATTGAGTATTGGCTGTATATACATACACACACACACATACATTCATACTTAGTATGTTTTCATCATCTTTTGCAATATTTCTAGAGAGGCGGGGAATAATGTTCAGTACATTTGGAGCTATTATTCAGTAGCTGAATTGAAGAAAATGATGGATGCCTTTGATGCCTGGGAAGGAAAAGGTATAGTACAATTCTTTTATTTCATGGCAGAAGGTAGACTTTCCCATAATAAGACAAAGTGAGTTCAATTGCTGCATTTTTCTTTTTTGAGAAAGTATTTCTTTGTAAGGTCAAGACATTTGTCACTTCAAAGTATGTTGATTGAGACAATTTACTTAAAAATCTTTAGACCCCATGACTTGCTAGATATTACTAATAGTTTATAATCCAGTAACCTAAAAAATAGTTTATAATTTTAGCATCTGTTAGTTATGCTTATTTAGTTCAATTCAACAGGAATTTATTTAGCATCCACTTTGTACCTAGCATTGTCCTTACTTTGAAATTTGACCATTGTTACCAAGCTTCTTATATCATTTGATAATAATAATGCTGTTTAATATTCAGTGTGATAAGTAGTTTACATTCAGTAACCCTTAGTCTTAAAACAATTCTGGGGGCGCCTGGGTGGCGCAGTCGGTTAAGCCTCCGACTTCAGCCAGGTCACGATCTCGCGCTCCGTGAGTTCGAGCCCCGCGTCGGGCTCTGGGCTGATGGCTCAGAGCCTGGAGCCTGTTTCCAATTCTGTGTCTCCCTCTCTCTCTGCCCCTCCCCCGTTCATGCTCTGTCTCTCTCTGTCCCAAAAATAAATAAATGTTGAAAAACAATTTAAAAAAAAAAAAAAAAACAATTCTGGATGTTGTTTACCATTTTATCGATGAGAAAACTGAGTCTTAGGCCATGCCACTTGCTTATGGATCACAGAGCGTTAGCTGTTCTATGCCTAAGTTTTTTTCCTTATTTAACAAGTATGTATTGAGTGTCTATTAGGTGCAAACACTCTAAGTTCTAAAATTGGGTCCGCAAATAAATAAGACACATGTTGGTCCTCAAATAGTCCTAAAAGCTGGTAGAGACAGACATTGCAAGTCACAAAAGATTGCATGCAAGGACAGGAGGGGGGTTTAAAAAACTCTTCATCACCTGCTTCTCTTCAGGTAGGGTGCTAGTACCAACCTTTCTTTCCTCAACTTTGCACCTCTCACTCTTCCTCTCCCCCCCCCGCCCCCAGATTACACCCCTCAGGCAGATAGAAAAAAGTGCTATTCTCTTTAAGCTTTTTATCTTAGATTTAATTGACTTTGAGACACTTAGGCTTAAGTTGAGGAACAAACCCCCTGGTGTTCTCTGTGTCTCCTATTGTGCCTCTGGACTGGCAGACTGCCCAGAAGGCTTTGGGAGAGCCCTGGCTGGTCTTCTTTCTCCACTGACTCAGGAAGCTGAAGTGAAGAGCTGGGATCACTGACTTACAGAGTGTGAGACTGATTTTAACTTTTTAATAAGTAGGTAATGAAGTATCATGGGTATTTAACACAGTTCTGGAAGGCCTACGGAAAGCCATTAGACAAGAAACAGAAGTGAGAGAAAGAAATATTGGAAGGAAGGAGATAGTTATTTGTGGAGAGTATGTCTTTTTAGAAAACCCAAAGGAATCAACTAAAGGTATCTTATAAGTGATGAGTTTAGTAGACCAAACCAGCTGGATACAATGTAAGTAAACACAAAGATCAGCTTACTTATGATAGATTAGTTAGAAATCATAGGGGAAAATCCCATTTACAATGGCAATAAACAACAAAATAACTAGGATGACCTATCAAGAAATACTTGAGTCTTTTATGAAGAAAACTACTAAAATATATTCATCCATTCATCAATTCATCCATCCATCTATAAAAAAAGAAGACATGAAGAGTATGGTAAGACCTACCATGCTCCCAAACAGGAAATTTATTCAGATAGATTTTATAATATTCATTATAAAGATATCAGTTTTTCTCAGATCAAATTATAGGTTTAACACAATCCCTACCAACACATCAGTGGAACCCTTTGGCCATCTTGAGGAAATGATTCTAATATTCCTTGAAAGAATAAAGCAGTGAAATAGCCAAGGACATTTTGGAGAGCAGAAGTCATCAGAGGAATGAATCTAACTATGTGATAGTAAAAATACTATATATAGATTTGTGATAGTAAGAACCATATGTTTCTGGTGCAAGAATAAATGCAAAGATCAGGAGTAAACCCCAATGAAATTATAAGAATAAAAATGCTATGTGATAAGGAGTATTAAATATCAATGAAAAAAGATGGATGATTTAATATGAAATTGAGAAATATGCTTAGGAGAAAACAGAATTTTAACCTCATGTCACTTATCAAAATAATCCCAGGTGAATTTATGGATGAAAAATGAAGCTATAATAAACTATAATGAAAGTTAAACAAATAACTGATTTCTTAAAAGGGAAATAAATCATAAAAGACAAAGATGAATAAATTTGATTACATAATATTTAATATAACTTTAAAACAAAAAAGTATAAAAAAATTAAAAGGCTAATAAAAACTTGGATAAAAATATTACATTAACTGGACAAAGAATATCCTTAAAATAGAGAAGATTTATTTAAATTGATTAGAAAATCAACTCAATGCCTATTATAAATAAATGTGCAAGGTTCATGACCACAAAATTTTCAGGAAAGGAAATCAGCACGTGGCATGAGGTTCAAACTCATTATTTATCAGTGAAATATGTATTAAATGAGAACTATTTTTTACATACCAGATTAGTAAAGATCTCATGCATTTTTGGCAGGAGTAACAATTAATACTACTGTGTTGGGAAGTAATTTATCATTACATATTGATAGCATCAGAACTGTTCATATTCTTTGACCTGATAATTCTACTTCTAGATATGACCAAATGCAGATAAAGGTTTATGAACAAAGTGTTCAATTAAGCATTATTTATAATAGAGAAAAAATAAAAACAATATAAATGTCTATGATAGAAGGTTAAATACATATTGGCACATCTATGGGAAACTGATGAGCAATAGCTATTAAAATTATTTTGAATAATATTTTACATACATGAATGCCCATGATACAATAAGAAATTATCAAAAGCAGGAAAAAAAATTAAATGTAAAGTATATTCAGTAATGTGCATATCATATGAATGAGAAAAAGACTGGAATCAGATTCATTGAAGTGTCATGAATCATGATTCCTAGTTTTAGGATTAGAAGTGATCTTGATTTTTTTTTAATATATACTTTTCTATATTATCCAAGTTTTATACAATGAAAGTGAATTATTTTATAGGAAGGCAAAAATAAAAGTTTTAAAAAGAAACTGTGGCATATCTATATATTGGAATACTACACAGCAATAAAAAGAAATGATCATTAATGCATATATCAACATGGATGAATCTTCAAAATATCAATGCTAGAGAAACCAGACACAGAAGGGTACATACTGTTATGATCCCATTTTTATGACACCCCTGAAATGGTAAAACTATGGAATGGAGGGGAAGGCATCAATAGCAAAGGGGTACATGGGAAATTTGGGGGTGATAGAAATGTTCTATGTCTTGATTGTGGCTATAATTATATGACTGTATACATTTATCAAAACTCATTGAAGTGAGTACTTTAAAAGGGTGAATTTTATTTTATGTAAATTATCTCAATAAACCTGAGTTAAAAATAAACAAACAAACCTTAATGGATGGGATTTGGGAATGTTTTTGTAGCAGCAGTATGTTTGGGAGCATGATCAAGCAGTTCCAGAAAATTATTGTCTTAAAATTAGGTCCATAGGCTCTGTGAGTATTGGATATATCTGTTACATATACTAATTTATATGCCCAGCTTGCTAAGTTGGTTAATATTTATTACTAAACCTTTAATGATTAAAAAACAAGACACCAGGGGTGCCTGGATGGCTCAGTCAGCTGAGCATCTGACTTGCTTTCAGCTCAGGTCATGGTCCCAGGATCATGGGATCAAGCCCCAAATCAGATTCTGTCCTGAGCATGAAGCCTGCTTAAGATTCTCTCTCTCTTCCTCTGCCCCTTTCCCCTGCTCGTGCTCTCTCTTTCTCTCGAAACAAAACAAAAACAAAAAACCACATACATACGACACCATATCCATTCTTGGGACTTCAAAGTTATTTTTAAAAAAATGTGAACCAATTTTTATTCAACATTTTTAAGCCTTTTTTAATGCATCTACATATAATTTTTTATGATTCTTTAAAAATTGGGGTGAAATTCACATAATATAGAATTAAAGTATAGACTTCAGTGGCATTTACTACATTAACAATGTTGTATAACCACCATCTCTGTCTAGTTCCAAAACATTTTCATCATCCCACAAGGAAACCCAGTACCTGTTAAGCAGTTACTCCCCATTCCCTTCTCTCCTCAGCCCCTGGCAACCACCAGTCTGCTTTCTGTTTCATTGCATTAGCCTGTTCTGGATATTTCATGCAACTGGAATCATACAATATATGACGTATTGTGTCTGGCTTTTTAACTCAGGATAACATTTTTGAGGTTCATAAAAATACATTTCAAACTTTCATTCAGAAACTTTAAAAGTTAAAATGAGTTTGACCACAATCTTGGCCTAACACACTACCCTAACAGTGATAGTTCATATTCATATAATGGTCAAAGGAAATTTACAGTGGTTCACAAAATTTACCTGATTTGATGAGTGCTGCAATCCAATGATGTTGACATGGCAAGTGTTAAGACCGTCATTGTCCAATCCTTGCACTGCTGTCAACACTAGAATTTATAAAATAAAGGCACCAAACATCTGTTAAGCGCTTAGTCTGTTATAGGCCCTATACTAAGCATTTTGCACTTATTTACTCGTTTAATCATCACAACAAACCTATGAAGTATATACTGTTATTGTAATTTTACAGATGAGAAAATTTAGACATGGAAAGTTAAGTAACTTTCGCAAGGTCGCATGATTAGTGAGTGATAGAAGTGGGATTCAGACCCAGGCAGTCTTGGCTCCAGAGCCTGTGCCTTTAACTCATCTGCCCAGAACCCATATAATGATCTACTAATTATCAGTAGTAGATCTGGGGCTGGTAGCCAGAAATTCCCTAGACCTGGGTTATGAGTTATCCCACTATTGCCTTGTTTCTTCATGGGAACACTTCCTGCATACACCTGCTTTCTTCAAATGGGAGGCATGAATCTCAAACTCTTTCTGCTTAGTCTTACACAAAAGTGTTGCTGAACCTTTTGCAGTGGACAGTGGCTCTCTTAATTATGCCTTTTGATCTTCCAGGTGTTAGCTACTGGCGGGTGCCTCATGAGCTGATAGAATGTTGGACTCTGGAAGAGCGGCCTTTACTTGGAAGCCTGCGTCACATGGCCCCAATTCGAAAGAGGTTATTTGTGTTCTGTTGATATTGTTTTTTGTTTAAATCTGTGACCTGTATTTTTATTGCCTTTACTGGGGAAATGAATAATGGTTCTTGATCTTACTAAGTTTATTAGTCACCTAGGTGAGTATTCTGCATTACCATCAAAATATAAATCTTGATAAATTCAAAGTTTCCAAATCTATGTAAAAACTGGAAATAATTCTCTAAAACTGAGTTACAGTATGTTCTTTTTGGGAGAATGTGATTTTAAGAATACTAGTGGACATAGTAAGAATGCTGTGGTAAGTATTTTTCCCTACAGAAGTAAAATCCTAGGCTTTATTGGCAGTAGCCAAAAAAATTATTTGTTAGACTTAATATTTGAAATTTACTGTGACTTATTCTGAATTCCTTTCTCCTTCCTATTACCACCAATAGTATTTTTATTTAATGGTATTTTCTTGTATCTTCTGAAATTATTATCAAATTCAGTCCACATCTGTGCTTTTGACTGTACTTTAAATACATTTAAAATCATACTTATTTTTCATTATCTAGGTATCATTCATGGTTTTTAGATGTTCTGACTTTTTGATCATCTGTTGTGAATTTGATTCAGTGCCCCTATAGAATCTGTGATTGCTTTTTTTTTTTTTCCCTTTTGGATCTTTCATAGAAATGCAGAGAATTTTCTTCAGTTTTTAATAGTTAATTATCTCTGGTTAAAACATTTTTTTTTCCTTAAAGTCCCTCATTTTATTATCAATATTTATTTTGCTTTTTGAACTTACAGTTAGCAAATACTGTTTGGGTCCAGAGCAGTGGTTCTCAACTGAGGGCAGTTTTGTCCCACAGGGGACATTTGACAATGTTTAGAGACACTGTGGGGTGGGGGATGCTACTAGCATCTAGTAAGTAGAGGCCAGGGATGCTCCTAAACATCCTAGAATGCATTGAGCAGCCTCTACAACAAAGATATATCCAACCAAAAATGGCAATAGAGCTAAGGTGGAGAAATCTTGGTCAAGACTCTAGTAGAAGATGTGGGCAGAAAACAAAGCAAGCAGGGATGGTTTTATGGAGATTCTCCTCTGCGTTAATTGTTCTTTCCTCTGGGGTTTATTAAGCATTATTTTTGATTCATGGATAGGATAATGATAATGATAACTTAGAAACAATTGTGAGGTCCTGAAGAATCATTTGCTTCACCTGAGAAAATTTAGTTATGTTCAGTAGAGTTTTAGGGTTGAATATATTATATTTGCATTCTTTATTACATGTCAGTTTTCAAATCGCCATGTCATTATGATCCTATTTCCAAGATCAAAATTCATTATGTTATATTTATTTGCCTGTGAAAATATACCCACACTGATAAAAGGGAGAAAAATTGGAGGATTGCCATTATACTTCCTGTTCAGAAGGTGAAACTGATGCAAACAGTGGCAGGAGCAGGCAGGATTTCGACAGTGGTTGTTTGACAGTTTTAAGGTCATTTCCTTAAACCTTAATATCATACTGGCTCTTTACAGATATTGAACCATCCTTGCATCCCTGGAATAAATCCCACTTGATCATGGTATATGATCCTTTTAATGTATTGTTGAATATGGTTTACTAATATTTTGTTGAGTATTATTGCATTTATGTTCACCAGCGATATTGGCCTGTAATTTTCTTTTCTTGTGGCATTCTTGTCTGGTTTTAGTATCAGGGTTATCCTGGTCTCATAAAAATAATTTGGACGCATTCCCTCCTCTTCTGTTGTGTGGAAGAGTTTGAGAAGGATTGGTATCAAATCTTCTTCAAATGTTTGGTAGAATTTACCAGTGAAACCTTCTGGTCCTGGACTTTTGTTTATTGGGAGGTGTTTTGCTTTGTTTTATTGTTTTTTAAGTTTATTTATTTATTTTGAGAGAGAGAGAGCATGAGTGGGGGAGGAAAAGAGAGAATGGGAGAGAGAGAGAGAGAGAGAGAGAGAGAGAGAGAGAGAGAGAGAGAGAAAGAGATTCCCAAGCAGGCTCCATGCTTGTCAACACAGAGCCCAACATGGGGCTCAAAACCATGAACTGTGAGATCATGACCTGAGCTGAAATCAAGAGTTGGATGCTTAACTGACTGAGTCACCCAGGAGTCCCTGTTTTTTTGTTTGTTTGTTTGTTTGTTTTGTTTTAAGTAAGTTCTAGGCCCTACATGGAGCTTGAACTCACAATCCCAAGATCAGGAGTTGCATGTTCCACTGACTGAGCCAGCCAGGTGCCCCAGGAGCTTTCTCATTACTGATTCAATCTCCTTACTAATAATTGGTCTGTTCAGATTGTCGATTTCATCATGAGTCAGTCTTGGTAGGTTGTATATTTCTAGGAATTAAAAAAAATTTATTTGTCCTTTTTTTTAATTGAAGTATAGTTGACATACAATGTTATATTAGTTTCACGTGTACAACATAATGAATTGGTGATTTTATATATTATGCAGTGCTCACTATGATAAGTGTAGTAACATCATACAGTGTTACTATAATGTTATTGATTATATTCCCTATGCTGTGCTTCATCCCCATGACTTATTTTATAACTAGAAGTTCGTAACTCTTAATCCCTTAGGAATTTATCCATCTGGTCTAGTTTGTTGGTGTGTAATTAATCACAGTAAGCTCTTATGATCCTTTGTATTTCCGTGGTATTAGTTGTAACACCTCTTCATTTCTGATTTTATTTGAGTCCTCTCTCCTTTTTCTTAGTGAGTTTTCTTAGTGAGTTTTCTTAAAGGTTTGTCAATTTTGTTTATCTTTTTAGAACTGGCTCTTAGTTTCATTGATCTTTTCTATTGTCTTTATAGTCTCTATTTCATTTACTTCTGTTCTAATCTTTTATTTATTTATTTTTTAACATTTATTTATCTTTGAGAGACAGAGAGAGACAGAGCACGAATGGGGGAGAGGCAGAGAGAGAGGGAGACACAGAATCCGAAGCAGGCTCCAGACTCTGAGCTGTTAGCACAAAGCCCAATGTGGGGCTCGAACCCACAAACCATGAGATCATGACATGAGCTGAAGTTGCACACTTAATTGACTGAGCCACCCAGGTGCCAGTCTGCTCCAATCTTTATTTCTTTCCTTCTACTAATGATGTGTAGTTGTCACTCAGCTATTCTTTAGGGGTTTTTTTTTATGAGGAAATTGTTCCATATGTAGCTGTAGACTCAGTGTATTTGTGGGAGGAGATAAATTCAAGATTTTCCTACATCACCATCATGAACAGAAACCTATCATATGGTTTTGATATCGTATTGAAAATCATATGATCATCTCAATAGATGCAGAAAAAGCATTTGACAAAATTCAACAATTTATGATAAAAACTCTCAACAAAGTGGGTATAGAGGGACTGCACTTCAACATAATAAAGTCCATATATGACAAGCCCACACCTAGCATCATGCTGTATGGTGAAAAGCTGATAGCTTTTCCTCTAAGGTCAGGAACAAGACAAGGATACCCACTTTCATCACTTATATTCAACATAGTATTGGAAGCCCTAGCTAGAGCATTTAGGCAAGAAAAAGAAATAAAGGGAATCCAAATTAGAAAGGAAGTAACAGTGCCTGGGTGGCACAGTTGGTTAAGCATCCAACTCTTGATTTTGGCTCAGGTCATGATCTTATGTTTTGTGAGCTTGAGTCCCGCATTGGGCTCTGATTGGCTCCACTTGAGATTCTCTCTCTGCCCGTCCCTTGCTCATGCTCTTTTTCTCAAAAATAAATAAATAAACATTAAAAAAAAAAAAAAAGGAAGTAGAACTGTCACTATGTGCAGGTAGCATGATATTATATATAGAAAAAATTACATCAAAACTGCTAGAATTAATAAAGAAATTCAGTAAATTTGCAGGATACAAAATTAATATACAAAAATCATTTATATACACTAATGATGAACTATCAGAAAGAGAAATTCAGAAAACAATCCCATTTACAACTGCACCAAAAAGAATAAAATATTTAGGAATAAATTTAACCAAGGAGGTGAAAAACCTATGTATTGAAAACTATAAGACATTAATGAAAGAAATTGAAGAGAACATAAATAAATGGAAAAATATTTTGTCTTCATGGACTGGAAGAATTAACATTATATTGGCACAAAAACAGACACATAGACCAATGGAATAGAATAGAAACCCCAGAACTAGACCCACAAACGTATGGCCAACTCATCTTTGACAAAGCAGGAAAGAACATCCAATGGAAAAAAGACAGTCTCTTTAACAAATGGTGCTGGGAGAACTGGACAGCAACATGCAGAAGGTTGAAACTAGACCACTTTCTCACACCATTCACAAAAATAAACTCAAAATGGATAAAGGACCTGAATGTGAGACAGGAAACCATCAAAACCTTAGAGGAGAAAGCAGGAAA